TCGGACTATAAGCCGCATGGTTCAAAGTTCAGGAAAAAAGTCGCGGCTTATAGTCCGAAAAATATTACTACTACTTCTACTTCCTGTTATCTTCTTCATCATCGTCTTTTTCACCAGTAGAAACAGCCGGTTGTTGATCACGTGACTCCTGTGATGTGAAAAAAGTGTTTCTGTTGCAGTTTTGCGAAAAACACCAATTTCGATACGGCCGAAAAACCACCTCATCCTAGCGCAAAAACATTTTGTCGAAAAAAAAACAATTTTTTTTCGAAATTGACGTGTTTCCATTGAGCAAATTTATTTTCAAAATCCTAATTTGCGCATTTTCATGGTCAATGGATGCCGACGTCTCCTCTGATGATGAGCGCTAGTGTCGTGGTAGCAACATGCTATGTGTTTACATCCATCGCCTCCGTGTTTGTAATGACTTATCGTGAGAACAAACGTATTCACGTGACTTTAATAGCATTTCTTACTTAATGGAAACACTGCAGTTGCGAAACTGTTTTTCGACCTTAACAAAATATTGACAAAGTTTTGCGCACATTTGCAATGGAAACACAGCTACTGTCTCGTACAAACAAATGGACACACACCCCCTCCCCCTTCCAGGTCCTGCTGGACTTCCTTCCAGGTGGGTCCTGCAGAGACGAACGGTGGGCCTGCTGTTAGCCTCAGTGCAGCTGTCTACAGTCTGGGTGGTGTCGAAGGCGTACCAGTTCCTGTCTTCATGGAGTCCAAAGAAGTTCCTGCTGATCACACAGGGAGACCTCAGAGTGGGTTCAGTGGTTCTGATGTTCTGGTCCTCATGGACCACCTTTACCTGTCGTTTGTCTCAACTTTGTTCAATCTGTTTAGATCTAAAACCCAACCAGCCTCTGAGCTCTGGTTTCTCTGTTGTCCCTGCAGATTTTGCTGATGTCACTAGACCAGATAAAGGATCAGGTTAAGACCCTGACGGTGGACCTGATCTCTGACCATCAGTCCACAGTCCAGAACCACAACCTGCATCTCCTGAGGCAGCAACTCAAAGTCCTGGAAGGAGCTGTGTCTGAGCTGCAGGTGAACAGAACCACCGACCCAGTCCAAACACTGCAAAAACTGTCCACCTAACCAAGTTTTAAAATCTTATATCAGCCAAAAAGTCTTTTTGATCTTGTTTTCAGACTGTCCTGATGCATCTCAGTAATCCAGGTAAAAAATCAAAAAGAAAAAATTGTACAGGTCTTCTGGACGGTTCTTCTTTAATGAAACGTTTCGTCTCTCCTCCAAGAGACTTCTTCAGTCTGAGAGTTTCAGGCAAAATTCAGGCTTTTGTGATGTGACTGATACTCACATCACATGGCTATCGTTCACACCTAATTAACACCTATTGTTAACAGGGGGTGGAGTGATACTGGCAATAGCAGCACTGTAGGAGGGGGACAACTGAAAACGGAGGCCTCCACCTCTGTTTAATGATGGACGGTCTTTCTTCACAAAAATGGCTTCTTTTACTCCTCTCTCAAACCAACCCACTCCACCCCTTGTTAACAATAGGTGTTAATTAGGTGTCAACAATAGCCATGTGATATGAGTATCAGTCACGTCACAAAAGCCTGAATTTTGCCTGAAACTCTCAGACTGAAGAAGTCTCTTGGAGGAGAGACGAAACGTTTCATTAGAGAAGAACCCGTCCAGAAGACCTATACAATTTTTTTTCTTTTTTAAAAGATTCAGCTTTATTAACAACA